TACTTCAGACCAAAGCTTGTCAGACCATATTTTTGACTGAATTAATGAATCAAATAGTTTACCTGAGGAGGTTCCTCAGTAAGTTGATCCAGTGACTACCTGCCCATGTTTGTCAGAAATATTTCCCATATGGGACACTTTAAAAATGTCAAGAAATAATCATATCAGTCATAATTTATGGATTTATGAATTCTTCTGAATTTCTCCCACCTTTATTCATTACATATCAACTGTATAAACAAAGTTATTGAGGTAATAGAGAAGTAGTTGATTTCATGTGTGAAGTCTTGAGTTTGATCCACGGCACGGTCTCCCCACAGCAAAAGTATTTAGGGGCAGGTGACATAGAACAGTGAGAGGGCACTTGTATTGCATGTGCCCCACGTTCAATTGCTAGTGTCCCATGTAGTCCTTGACCTCTACCAGAAGTGATTCCTTTGTGCAGAGTCAGGAGTAAGACCTGAGTGATGCCTGGTGTTTCTGATCCCACCCAGCCTCCCATCCCAAAGAAGAAAAATATTTAACTAGGAAGTAATTCATGAATAACTCAATGTAATAATTTAAACTTTCATCAACCTTCTCTGTATCTTGCTTTTTTATTATTGGAATCATCCTTGCATCTCACTGCAACTTTAATTGTTCTACATGAAGAATGCAATATAAAAGTCAAATCATTTGTATGTCATAGTTTGGGTAATTAAGTAAGAGATTTTCTTCTTGTCTTGTATTTCAAAATTTCTTGTCTAGATTTATAAATTTGTAGACAAACCCTGAAAGTTGCTTATTAAAGAAAATTTCTATTCTTTTAAACCCCTTTCTACAGCATTGGAAATGTTTTAAAATGACATGAGAATCTTCTTAGAGTTCAAATCTAAGTAATTCGTTTGACTTAGAGATTCAATTATTATCCAGTATGAAGAAAGAAGGTGTGAAATGTGGAATTATAGTTTCAGTGCATCTAGAGAATTGCTTTTAAGACTCAGAAACCACATTTTATCCAATTAAGAATGGATTCACATGATTCCAAAAATGAGAGAAGAAACTGGAGCTAGGGCAGGCCAAAAGATCTAAAACTACTGTTCTGGAAGAAGAGCATACCCAGGAACCATACATAGAGTTCTAGTGCATTCCATATCACTACCACTTGGGAATCTTTTTCCCTGCCTATTTGAGGAAACTTCTGCAAAAAAACAGTTTGGGAGGAAGATCTGTGACTTTGGAGCATGGGATGTTTTCTGGAATCAGATGCAGCGGCATAGAGGGGTAGTGGGCTATTCACAAGGGTGTGCTACGTCATCTCCTGAGCACTGGTGTCAGGGAAGTGCCAGTATCAAGGTATATGCCTGGTGTGTGTGTTTATGATGTGTATATTCACAAGATTCCCTATATGCATTTGGCATAAAGTTTCAATGACTTCTATAGTAGGTATTAATTGCAGTTTCTGGATTCATTATGGGACCCAGAAAGACAATTTGTTTTTCAGATAATATAGATTGTTCTTTGAGGTTCACAATCTCTATGTTTTGCAGTCATGAAAAATATTATTATTTTACAAAAATTGGACTGTAAAATTTAGGTATGCCTTTATTTTTAAATTTTAACATTAGACTACTTCACTTTTCTAAAATGACTTGCTGTTTTCCCTAATCAAAGGAAATATGGAAAGTATTTTTGATTTTATAACAAAGGGCAAAATTGATAAAATGTTCTCAATGTTTATTTTACAGAAACATTTCTAAGGATAGCCAGGGAGGGAAAATGGGTTTGTCAAACTTCTTCCCTGATAACTCGTTTTTATAGTACTTCTCTAATCATTCTTTTTTAGTATACATTAGTGCTATTTTAGGCCCTTATGTGTTATTTTTTATGACTTGGTAGGTTTATATTTTGGTTCTGATAACACCAAAAGTTTTCCTTGTAAGTTACTAGTAATTATTTTTTCACATTATGTCATAACAGCTTATGAAACACTTTATAGGAATATTCTGCTTTTAGATTGTAAGAGAAACATGCAATTCTTACTGGTAAAAGATAGAAGGTGATGAGAGATATTGGCAGAGTCTTGGTAATGTAAGAGGTATGTCTTATCTTAGAATTGCTCTCTAAAACTTTCAAAGAAGTAAGTAGTAGTTAGCATTTCACTTTCATCTATTCAGTGTAAATACATTTAGCCTGTACCTATAGTGTTGCTTGGACTTCTCTGGCTATTCAAGTACTATAAAAAATTATCAAATCAGTGAAATTTCATATAAATGAAAAGAATAATACCAACATAAGCTTACTAAATAATATAATGCCATTTTTAGGAAATAAGTTAATGTATAAAATTTATCTCCAGAGTATATTAATGCAACCTATAAGAAGAAAGATAAAAATAAGATGTGCTGAAAACCCCATGTCAATTTGCCACATGCTTACTGATCAATTTTGACTAGAAAATAGGGGTTAAACAAGTGTTAGATTAAATACTCAGAAAATTTTCTGTGTAGTCAAAGAGACAAGGTGCAAATGCATTTTAGAGTTCTTGGTAACATTAGAAAGCCTAAAATAGCACTATCAAAACAAATACCAAAAGACAAAAGACAAATACCAAAAACAAAAACAACATTAAAGACAGGTATTCTCAGAAAACTTTCAAAATCTTATATGCAAGAAGTAAATCTTGCCTTTATGAAGGGGCTTTGATTTGCCTAAAATAGATTCATGTGACTCTACTAGACCTCTACAATTATATCAGAACTCTTGTCATAAAGTCATGTAGATTCTGGAATCACAGAACACTGTACTGAAGGAAAAACAGATTTTGAAAGAAGAAAAGAAAAGATTAATGTCTTTTTTCAGCTATAATTTTTCCCAAAGCCTACCTCTACTATTATATTTACTAGTGACAACATAGCAAAAGCACTAGATAGTCATTCATTAACATCTTATTCTGAATTAGATCTTGAATACATTCGGGTCCATTAACATTGCTTACGTATCTGGGATATAAAAAATTCCCAAACCACCACCTATACGGAGATGTCCAACAACACATTTCTCAAAGTGTATATCTGTCATTATGGAATGCATAACTGTCATTCATTTTAAGGAACATTGGTAATAACATATGTAGTTTAATATATTTATATTTTACAAAGCACACTCAGATATATCACCTCATTTATTTTTCAAACAACCTTTTGTGACGGTGATTACTTTTGTTCTTTATCATAGAACAAAAAGGAAGCAAATAAATTTAGAGAGCTTGCTTCATAACTTAATGCTAATTTATTGAGCCCCCAAATCATGAAATAAATCAAACTGTTATTAAACAAAATTATGCCCAGCTATCAAATATCATGTTTTTCTCCATGCAGCAGATGTAGCACTGTCCTCCTGTTGTTCGTGGATTTGCTCGAACGGGCCCATTAATGTCTCCATTGTGACACTTACTACTGTGTTTGGCATATCGAATATGTCACGGGTAGCTTGCCAGGCTCTGCCATGAGGGCGAGATACTCTCGGTAGCTTGTTGGGCTCTCTGAGAGGGGGAATTGAACCCGGCTTGGCTGGGCTGACTGCGCGCAAGACAAACGCCCTACCACTGTGCTATCGCAGATGAATCTTAATAAACACTATTTCATTTGAGAGGTTCGACATGAACTGTTTCTGCAAAGTTAAACTTCTCACAGGAACTTCTACCTAAAAGTTAACAGATACACCATGAGCAACTAGATGACTCACTATGTAGAAATTCAGATTGTTTGTAATGCATTGAGTTTAACTAAATATGGAATTTTACCTATAGACTGTGCTGTGTTTTATAAAGACAGGAGTTATTGCTCAGTAGGCTGAAGCAAACGCTTTGCATTCAGGAGGCCCAAGTTTTATTCCTGGTACGGCATGGTCCACTGAACACTGCTGGGAGCAACCTTTGAGTATAAGAGCAAGCAGTAGGCCACATGTGGCCCCCAAACAAATAAATAAAAAATTACCAGGTGGATATTTGTGTTATAATTTGGTTAGGGTTTCACAGACCATAAAAGATGTTAAAAGGTTGTTAATTCTGTTAACTCCAGTGGCGAAGCTAATTAAAAGTTCCAAAAGTTGAGTAAATAGCCAAAACCACTCTGTATGTAATATAGAATAACAGTCAATTAATCATGAGTGCATTTTCTCTAAATGAAATTTGTAGTTTAAAAAGAAGTCTAAAATCCCTTTGAGGAGTTGATATAAAAATTCTAGAAACTAGAGAGTAAAGATAGGTCTACTCAATATTCATAAACTCAGATTGGTTGATGCAAATGGAAATTGCAATCTCTTATTTTCTAATGACTTTGCTTGTAGCACCCGTGTATCTGTTTTTACATGGATTTTTACTCACCTTAAAAGGGAATGAATTTTTAAAAGCCATTTTAGCATACTCAGAATGATTTTCTGCCATCTTTGATTAATTTATAATAGGATTCCTAAGGTATGTGATCAGAAATGCATAAATGACAAAGAAAAAAGGTGTAATACAGTATTCATAAGAACTAAAGATATGTCATCACTTAACTTTTCTATTGTAACTGGGTAATACATCCTATAGGAAGGCAGATGCACAAGAAATATTATAAATACTTTTTAAGATTTAATTTCCTTGAGAGAGAAATCAAATATTTTAGCACAGCTTTTTATAATGAAATTTATAAAATTCACTCTGATAAAATGTATTAGAAATTCCATCTTTGGTAGCCAAAATTCTCACATCCTACACTGTTACAATAAAAAAAATGAATATAATTCCTATTGCTTACTTTATTTCATTATGTGACTAAATGTAGCTAACAAATATCAGAATAGAAGAAGGTATAGAGAACTTTCCTGACATCTTATTCATTCACGCAGAGTCTGACAGTGTGCCTATACGGGTCCTCAAAAATTACCACTGAGTTCTCAGTTAAATAAACATCATATCTCAAAATAGAATGTTTATTATGGTGTTATTTAAATTGTTTTCTCTTTCTTTCTTTTAGGCCAGCCCTGCTCCTATAATTGTCAACACAGATACATTGGACACAATTCCTTATGTAAGTAACATTTTAATTAAGACTTTCATAAAACCTGTGATAACACTGATAAAGCTGAACTTCCAATTAATTCATATTCAATTTCATCAAATCCAGATAATCTTATGGAATTATGATTAGGATTAACTTTGTGAGTTTTCTTTAGCTATTTGCTATATATATATTGCTTTTTGGGTAACACCTGGCAATGCACAGGGATTACTCCTGGCTCTGCACTCAGGAGTTACTCCTGGCGGTGCTCAGGGGACTGTATGGGATGCTGGAAATTGAACCCTGGTCTGCCGTGAGCAAAGCAAACCCCCTACCCTCTGTGCTATCTCTCCAGCCCCCAGCCCCTATTTGCTAAATTTCATTTATTCACACAGTATTTCCTTCTTTTTATTATTTTTGTAAAAAAAATAGGGGCCTATCTTGAGGGGGCAAAAGTCAATTCTAGTCTAACAATATTAGTTTTCTAAGATGGTCGACTAAACATAGAATTACTGCAGCATTAGATAAATTTTCTTGGGTTTCTTGCAATAGAAATACTTAAATCAATATCTACGACATAGCCTAGAATAAAGTAACTGATGTTTAAATATTTGATGACTTTTGCTGGGCTTCTAATAAAAACTGGAGCAAGTCTTCTGTGAAGGTACAACCTCTTCATTGACAACAAAATTTTTAAGTTTATAAAAGTATGGACAATGAGATAATCGAATTAAACAAACTAGTAAACCGTAGGACTTGATAGCTGCAATGTACTCAGTATAATTGGTCAGAGTCTGGGTATGAAGACTGGAGACCATGGTGCTAGGTGCCACAGGGTATGAGTTTGCTCTTCTGAAGGTCTGTTAAGGCTTTGTGAGTGGCCCTATCATATGAGTAGATAATGATGCTCTGAGAATGTGGGACAGATGCACACTCATGCAGATAGAGGGTCTGAAGCAAGGAGGACTACAAGATAATGAACAGTGGGAACAGACCCTTGGTCTGTGATGGAATGACTAAAGCTATGGTAAAGTCTTTAGAGGAGTATTTGGTATAAAGTAAATGCTTGGTTAACCCTTGCTATTCTTGGTTTTACACCCACAACCTCAATGCCTGCAAGGACAAAGCAAATCACATAGCCCAGTGGGATAGCAGGAGAGAAGGCTGTGAGAATACAAAGCCCATAGACCTTTAAGGGGCAAACAATATTCTGATGCAGTGGGTTGGTACCAGGGGCCAGGAACAAGATGTTTAAAATGTTGCCTGAAAGAAAAGTTGGTGATTTGGCAGTTTGTAAAGAGTTTTCACTTTTTTTTAAGTATTAGCAACTAATTTTCCAATATCAAACACTTTCTGTGTATATTAAAATTTTGCCCTTGGGAGACATCTAGCTCCAAGGAGATCCTGTGTAGACTTTGCAACTTGGGACTGGGACGCTGGGGAACAGAGTACCAGAACAGGAGTGCAAGGTGGGGCTTGATTACAGGAACAAGTAACTGAAATTAGGACACCAGGTCAGGACAAGAATAGCATCAAGTTTAACGCTGAGTCACCTGAACTATTGAACTAGGACTTTTTAAATCTTTCTAAATAAATGCTCTGGGATCAGACTGGAAATAGGGTTAAGCTTACCAGTAGATTCCAGTAGCCCCAGCTCTAGAAAGTGCCCTCTTAAAGGAAATTAACACAGTGCATGGAAAGCACATAGTACTCACTCTTTTGTGGCCCTTCCTCTATCAGACGTTTATACTGTGATTGATACATACCTGTCACATTTTAAGCACTTAGCAAGTATTAACCATTAACTCTTCTAAAGAATTCTAGAACTTAAGTAGTATTAAGCTTGCCATTTTAGATATGAAGTAATTAAGGACGTTAAAGAAGAAATAAAGAAGTAAAAGAAGTTTACAAAGTTCACTACTTGGGCTACAGCTTTTTTATTTCTTCTTTAATGTCCTTAATTTCCTTATATCTAAAATTAGGCCTTGGGGCTGGAGCGGTAGCACAGCAGGTAGGGCGTTTGCCTTACACGCGGCTGACCCGGGTTCGATTCCCAGCATTCTATATGGTCTCCTGAGCACCGCCAGGACTAATTCCTGAGTGCATGAGCCAGGAGTAACCCCTGTGCAATGCCGGGTGTGCCCCCCGCCCCCCTCAAAAAAGCAATAAATAAATAAATAAAAAGTTTACTACTTAAAGAAGTTAAGTAACTTTCTGAGGGCCAGCACAATAGTAGAGGTGAAGAGAGGAGATGCTTGTCTTGCTCAAGACTGACCTCTAGGTGCTGAAGCGATAGTACAGTGGGTAGGGCGTTCACCTTGCACCCTACCAAGGTGGCTTTGATCCCTGGCGTCCCATATGATCCACTAAACACTGCCAGTAGTAATTCCTGAGTGCAAAGCCAGGAGTAACCCCTGAGCATCGCTGGGTGTGACCCAAGAAGCAAAATTTAAAAAAAATAAGTAAAATATAAAAAAGACTGACCTCTATTTGATCCCTGAGACCTCCTGTGCCTGCTTCCTCACCCCACCCCCAAGCACCACACATGGTTTCCCCACCACTGCCAGATTCTTTCCTGAGTGGAGAGCAAGGAGTAAACTCTGAGAACTGCAGGGTGTGACTCACCCCCTTCAAAAGAAAAGGTTAAATAACTTTATCAAAGTATTATAATTTAAGAAATTCTATGACTTCAGTAAATCTCTATTATAGCCATTAATAAAGCTCATTTTTGCTAAATGTGAAAAAATAAATATTTTCACATTGACCTGCAACCTAGGGGCTTGATTTTATAAGTAAATTCACCGTCTTGTAGTAAATCTACAGTAATATTTCAAGGTTTTCTAATTAACACTCTACTAACCATATATCCTCAATACAAACAATTTTATTAAGTAGAATCTTTAGATTTTGTACAGACCCAGTCAATTAAAATTGCAACTAATTCAGTGGTAAAATAAATTGCGTATAGAAAATGAATCAAGTTGTTCCCGTAGCATTAAATATCAATTGTGTATCTGTCTTTGATTTCTTGTAAGGCATTTTTAGTTTTGTCTTTAACTGTTGTGCTTTATGCAACCTCTGAGCTTCCTTAACAATCACTGCATTTTCTCGGCATTTTGGTATGGTGAAAATGACCTACTTCTCATTCTGGTGTGATCTCAAGTAATTCATTTACTCTTTCTGACGAAATTAATCTATAAAATAGGAATTATATCTACCTCAGCGGTGTTTAGAAGGACCAATAAGATAATGCATGTGAGAAATCATTGTTAACTTCTCGTTGCTAGGAGTTCATCGTTTTACTGAACAAGCACTAGGAAGTAGCATAGACCAGACTTTCGGAGAATATTAAGCATATCATATAGTAGAAGCATGAGTCCCTTAACCATTGGAAAGAGTTTGTTTAGAATACGACTATTAATGTAGATGTGCTTGGTTCTTAGCATAGGTCTGACTTCCTCCTTGCTCTTGACTCACCTGGGTAATCTTGAATAAATCACTGTTCTTTTTGCAGTCTATTTTTTAATGTTCCATTGTTCTATGTGTTGTTTTCCCCCTTCTTTCTTTTTACCATGTTCTGTTTGTTCACTTAATTTAACTCTATTTAATAAACAATGATTTTAGAGTTCCCTCGAGCATTTTAGGCATGTTACTTAAAACAAGTTCTTCTTAAAAATATTACTGGGATGACAAATTTTAACATAAAGTCCCCCTTAAAAACAGTTTCATTGTAAATAAATGTATTAGCTTTTAATATACTTTAAATGTATTAACTTTTTCAATGAAAAAAATTGGCTTTGTAGATATGTGCTCTTTATCTTGGTTTCTTGGATAACATAGAAATAGTACTTGAATATTTCTGGAGGAAATCTTTCAGATCAAAGAAAATGTTTAAGTATTTAATATAGGCATACAAGACATTGAAAGAGAAATGTGCTTTTACTTATGTTGAGAAGTAATAAGACATTAAAATTTTAAAGTATTTTACATTAACAAAAGAGCCGCTACAATTTTTATGTGAGAATGCCTCAGATAAACTCATTTTTCTGTCACACCATATTATTTGAGTTAAGCATAGTTTTATTTGTGTTACAATTTAGCCTCTCAGGGAAAGCAGAAAGACCTTATTAAGATTAAATGAAAGAGTAGAAAAATAAATTTTGAACACCAATTTTTATTTTTTTATTTTTTTTATTAGTGAAACACCATGAGGTACAGTTATAGACTTAAAATTTTTGTGCTTGGATTTCAGTTATACAATGATCAAGTACCCATCCCTCCACCAGCGCCCATCTTCCACCATCATGGGTCCCAGCATCCCTCCCACCCCCCATCCCTTCCATCCCACCCTGCCTCTGTGGCAGGGCATTACGCAAAGAAATGAGAGCAGAAATGTCACGAATCAAAGATTCCGTAGATGAAACGAAAAACTCAAGTCTCTTCTCTCAACAATAGAATGACCGCAGCTGAAGAGAGAATCAGTGAGCTGGAAGATCAGTTGCACCAAGCCAACAGGCAACAACAAACAGTGTCAAGGGACCTCAAAATAGCTCTACAGAGAATCAGAGTCCTAGGAGATGATTCCAAGAGGAACAACATTAGAATCATTGGACTACCAGAAGCTCAGGGAAACAATCCCAAAGAAAAAAAAAAAACACGGTTAAACAAATCATTGCTGAAATATTCCCAGAGCTCCACAATGTAGCAATTCAGGCTCAAGGAGCCCGAAGGATACCAGCTAAAAGAGCCCCTAACAAAAACACTCCAACACATATCATAGTTAGAATGATTGACGCTGCCGATATCTCTATTGGCAATTTTTATTTTTTACTCACAATTTTTATCCCTTCCATTATTTGCTGAATATTATCTGATGCCACTCCGTGAAAATACTCTTTTATTAAAGATGTCAATGTGAGAAAACCCTACATGACATGTGTAAGACTGTTTTAGTAAAAACTCCTTTTTGTTTTTCACTTTTTTTGTTCTCAGTATCCAATTGACAAGGTACACTTTCCTCCTGACACACT